AGCCGCTTCGAAACTTTTACCACAAAAATTAACATGATGTAAACATCAGGAAAGTTGCTATATACATAATAGCAACAGATTCTTCTAAAAGACTTTACGTGATGCCCCACGGATTAAAAATACAATGCTGAACTGACACATTTCACTTTAAGAGCGAATTTGTGTGATGTGTGGAAGCAAATCTGATGAACAGATATGATTTAAATGCACAACCAAAAGTCTACATGTGCATTGTTCTAAAAAGTTGCAACTACTTTTGGGAGAAATACTAATGTGTTTAAATACCTAATTATAACACACAAACCAGAAGAAACTCACCAAACTCAATTTAATTTTAAAAAAGTAGAATCTCCATGTTAATGGCTTGAAGATAAGACATTAAGCACATGTTATGGCCTACATAACGAAAGCACTTCTAACGTTTCCGGCAGCACTGCAGCCTATCCACCCTGTGTAATTATTGTTTTGCCAACAATGCCACTTAATATTCCCAGGAGTAATTTTAAGAAAACCAATTACTATGCAGTCTGAGGCATCTGATGCCAAAAAAGTTGTATTTAGTAACGTAACCAAGTCCTTATTCAGAACTCAATAGTTACTCAGCTAGTCACAAAATTCACTGCTTTTATGGATTCCGAAGATTCATTCTGCTGCAGTCTTCTATTAGGACAGCTAATTAGTTCACTTTCACACTCACTCTGAAACGTGATCTTCGTTTGACACGTAACAGCTATATAAAAAAAACACTGTTGTCTAAAAACAAACTATTTGTTACTATTACCACAAAAACCCACTAACAAAATTTATGAATTGCACATTTTCACAATGTATTTATCTAAGATCCAGTTTAATATTATCCTCTCATCACCTTATATTTTTTGGTCATGCAAGTCCTCCAACAACATTTAATAATGGTTTCTTGCTTCTCCCATCTGAGTATGCGGTCAGGTCATTATAACCTCCTTTATTAAGCTACTCAGTTCCTGGAGATCAGGACAATCACTCAGCTAACTACGTAATATTTTCCATTCTCCCCTCACAACCCAAATCTTCGGACTCACCGCCGTGAATACCTATCAAATTCTACCAAAATTTTCTGATATACAACATTTTTAAAAAATTGAAAAAAGTCCTTTCACCAGAATAAGATACCATATTTCACAAAGTCACCTGCTCATTGCCACAAAAAGAATAAAGTTACAGATTTATTTATCTTAAACATTTACTTTTGTTTGGTATTATGTTTTTCCACACACAAAAATTATGTGGGCCTACTGTGTGTTATAGATTCACATTTAGAGTTTTCACCTGAACAAACATTACCTGATATCATTCTTTATGAAACTAGTTTCTGTTACTATTGTCCCTAGGTATTCAAATTTTTAAAATTATTTATTTGCTATTGTTATAAAACAACTTCATCACGGATATGAGAAGTTCACATGTTTCATTTCATTTACATGTATTTTAACCCGGTTTATTTACTAGCCTACATAAGAATTTCAGCAATACTCTTCATATCATTATGTAAGTAATTAGTATAAGTAACTACAGAGGAATTGCTTTCAAAGGTTTCATCTACATAATTACTTCATTTACGTTACTGAATTTACAAACCCAAAGGTAATGCAAACAGGGCTGTTATGTAGGGAATTCAGAAAGTAAGGGAAATATTTTAATATTTTCGTCACATGAATGGAACATTGTTCAGGCCGTCACACTATCGTTCAAGGCCAAACACAGACCTGCTGCAAGCCTGGTTCCGTTGTAGCACATTTATGAAGAGTGAGTGGCGTAAAGATGGCTACTGTACTAGATGTCTTCACCGAAGGCAAGCAACATTAATAACTCGTGCAGCAATTTCCACAATACTGTTCATTTTACAACAATCACTGCTTCAGCATGCCCCATTTTCTTTTTTATTGTTTGTGGATATGGATGGACATCTTTACCTGCTGTACCAACAACAATGGTTTGGATGCGTTCAAACCTTTTGATCCATTCTTACACACTTCAATGCGGCAAACAGTTATGTCTATACTTGGCAGCCAATTGTTGACAGATCTCTGCCACTTTCATTTTTTTCAGACACCAAGAAATGCATTATTGCTTGTCCTTGGTGCAAATATCTAGTGAACCACACTCACAGCATTTCAATGTCTGACCCTTAGCTACAGCATGACCAGACCCCAGCAGTGTTGTTAATTATACAATAAAAATTATCCAATAATGCCCTTACTTCTGAACCAACTTCCTACATAAAAACTTGTATGCCTTGCAAAAGATAGGATTGGAAAGAGCCCATTTTTATTCCAGTAACAAGAATAACATAAAAGATGAAAGAAAATATGTATGTACGTGAAATCTGAACAGCTGGGCACACGTTTCTCTAAAATAAAATTCCAAGGTTTGCATCTCATATACATAGGATTAGCTTATTTAAAACAAAGATTACAATTAATTCACTTACCTTTTGTTACCATATTCAATTTTTAGTTTCTATAAATATAGATTATTAAATAACGTGCACATCCAAACAATAACAGAAGTGCAAATGAATGTAACACTATTCTTTTGTTATTGTTTATTTGTAACTACTGCAAATTTAATTTAATTTAATTATATAAAATGCAATAAAATTTCTTTATAAAACGCTTGCTGAATAAAAAACAAAACAAAATGTTTTGTGTTGAATTCTGCAACTTTCACACAAAACATTTTGCAGTTCTGTAGTTCATGAAACAAAAGAATTTCTTTGAGTCTTCAAGTAAGATGGCTGCAATCTTCATGTGAAGTGTTCTGAAAATATTATTTCACATTCATAGCAAAAACGTTTAAGAAGTTCTACTACATAAATCAATTATTATCAGCATAACAAGGCTAATATTACACAAAGTATGAAATTAACATTTACTACATTTATGCTCATTAGTAAATTGCTTGTCACTGAGTCAAAAATAAAATTCTGCAAGAAATAACTAAATACAACATTCACCTCACTAGTTATCACATATTTCTCTGGGACATTTTGCAATCTGCTCATTTCCTTGTTTCTAAAGACGCCATTCATTGCAAGACAAAGCGGGAGCTGCAGGATCTCCAGGGGACTTTGAGACCTTTCTTGGGGGGGGACTAATGGTCTAATTATATTTTGTTTTCCTACAACCTCTTAATGTCCACTACTGGACATAGGTCTCCCATTTGGGGATTTCAGCCATATGCTACCACGCTGGCCAGTGCGGGTTGGTAGCAGACAAACATCCATGCCTTGAGTGGGACTCAAACGCAAGGTTGCAGCAGTCATGCCTCAGATTGCGTGGCTACTGCGGCCGGCCTAATTATAATACATATAATATAAATTAATAAAAGAGGAGGCCAAACAAAAATTATAGATTTGAGGTTTTCACAGCGGTGAGTATGAAGATTTCTGTCTTCTGGGTTGTTACGCTGTGTAGTCCGGTTGATGTTAACCAACGTTTCACAGGTATGACATCTGAAACGTTGGTTAACATTGACCAGACTACACAGCGCAACAACCCCGAAGACAGAAATCTTAAAAAATTATAGACATAAAATTCAAGAGAGAAAGTACATCGCAGATTATTTAAGATTCATTAGTGAATTTCAGTCAAACTTCTATATCCAGATCTGAAGTGTTTGTGAATAACTGGCCTGAATTCTGAGAGTAATTTTACACACTTGACAAAAACTAATCCTTTGCAGGTTTAAATGATTCATCTGATGAAGTTGTTCTCAAACTTGATGGTACGCTTATTATCAATCGCCACAATTCTGTAGGAAAAAGAACATCCACATAAAAAAAAACAAATAAAAGCAGGTAATCTAACAGGAATAACAATGAGCTGTGAAGTGCCTTCCAGAAGAATCATTCGGCCGACTTTCTTCGAAAGACACCAAAAATCCATAAAGTAAAACTGTTCCAATGGAAACTGGGGGAAGAGGAGACATAACTCCTATCGGTGCTTGACCTCAACACTAGATGGGGGTGAGAGGTCAGTATCATGCCTTGGCCCCGTTTTAATGCTCTAACCCTGAGGACAGGACCCTTAGTACCCATCATATAAGGGGCTGGGTGGACCTGTCTGAACATACAAGTTAGAAGAAACATCCTTAACCCGTCTGGGATCGAAACCTAGCCATCAAGTTCATGGCCAAGAAGCCATACCATGGCTCATTACCTAAAAATGATGCAAGGCAAAATTATATTATGTATGAGATAAGACATATAATAATGGAAGTCTTTTCAACAAACTCAAGCACCACTGTGCTGCAGCAGTGGGAGAGATTTTATAAATACTAATTTACATGGATGGTGAGTAGGAGTAGAAAAAGTATGAAATATTCACTCAGATACCCTGACCTAACATCACTAGACTTTGTTACTTGTAGTGTATTTTAAAGAACGCTGTGAATGTATAATGTAAGAAACAAGGATGAAACTGAATTTCCGTGTATGACTATTTTAAGAGATGCCAACAAGCGACATTCTGCTGTGTGCTGTCAACAGTGAAACGACGCTGGGCACTCAGCTGACTTTATGGTAAATTTCACAACAATGCTGTATAGTCTGATTTAAATAAACCACAAATAAATAAAAATATGATTCATAACAATGGCCTAATGTCTGCTTGCTTTAACGCTAATGAAATACATTCTTAAAGGAGATATATTTTGAAGACGGAAATCTTCATACTCACCGCTGTGAGAACCTCAAGTCTTATGAGATATATTTTTAGAGACACTGAATATACAGATGGATACAGCAAACTATTAAATGCTCACAAACTGTTGTGAAAATACCTAAAAGTGATTATTCCATAACATTACATGCTACAGTATGGCGGCACAAGTCCATGGTATAGGAATAAATTGTACAAGTGTTATCAAAAGCTGCGGAATAATTGAACATACATACATACAGCCTTGTTTATAAAACCGACACGAAGAAGTCTGAAGCAAATGACGGAAGATGATCTTACCTTTCTAATGTCGTCCAAGTTGTGAATTTCAGGTGAGAGACCTCCGTGGACACAGAGGAACTGCTGGTTCATGAGGGCAGCAAGAGGCAAGCAGTCAAACGCTTCCATGCATGCCTCATACACACGTTCTGAATATTTTATTTTACCTGAAACAGAAATGTATTTCCCATCTTCATTAAAATAATGTAATATTGTACAATGTTGCAATACCATTCTTGGCGTAAATCAGGTATAATTTTAAATCTATTCATAATATAACTGATGTGCATTTCCAGGATCAGAGTTATGCTGAAGTTTTATATATATATAGGGTGGGGGGCAATGAATTGTGTAAAGAATATAAGAATCACCAACCAGTCAGTAGTCTGAAAATTATTTTCTGACACTGTTTTCTCATGACTAAGTCATCAATTACTGAAATACAATATATATTACTCACAAAAATGTGTAAGAACACTTTACACAGACACAAAACACCATTTAAAATGCCAAATGAGCAGCCAGGATTTAGATTGTGTCAAATAATGCCTTCAACTGCATTAGCTACTACCAACATAATTATCTGCCACTTGTAGCAGCTACCACTGCCTTTGAGACAACATAAGTCTTTTAGCGAAAAAGCATGATAATGCAGAGTACATCTGTTATAAAACCTGAGGACTCAGACATAAATCAATATCTTCAGTACTGATACTGCATTATCAACATTAAACCATCTAGTAAATACAAGTAACTGAAGTACCATGAATCAAGTACATGAAAATGTCACCTGAAAAAAGAAACTACTCCAACATAAGTATACTTACACTCTTGTTTAAATGTGAAGTATTCTGTTAGATGTCTACATTCATGGTTTCCTCGTAATAGGAATAATGTGGTAGGATAACACAATTTCAGAGCCCATAGGTACAACACACACTAGAAACAAAGAGAAACGTAAGTTATGACCACTGAACTTCTACACGAGAAAAACTATAGACAAACTGTTTATAAATACAGAGTATCACAACTCTATATATATCACATTAAAATATGGATGTATACTTCTGAGGTGCAAACAATAATAGTGTCACTTGGATGTACAGTCCTGAAGTTTAGTGTGATAATATACATTTGAAACAAATGCAAGTTTTGTTGAGGACATCTTTATGTAGAATGTAAAACAAAATGGCAGCTGCATAAAATCTATATTTACAAGTCTGATGGTGATAAACACATAACTAAAGCTAGGCATGTGAATCTTTGTACACGTATAAACAAAAAAAATATACCAAGAACATTACTACAAAATACGTATGAAACATTTTTCAATGTTATAAATTACAAGTGTCAGTGACAGTGAAAAAGTGAGGTTATATCTGACAAAGTTCGTGTAATCACAAAGGACCAACCCTCAACTTTAAGTACTGCCACTTTTAAACAATATTAACCTCCTTTTACCTATAATTCTTTAACTGCTGGAGAACTTAAAAAGCAGAAAAAAAATTACTTACATTCACATTCATTTAAAAAAGTAAACTGACATAAATCTGTGCTACTGACCCTGACAAAAAAATAACCATATTGCCAATCTCTTTATGTCATAAACTTGCAAAGACATCTACTTTTCAAATATCTTTTATCTAGAGCAGTGGTTTTCAACCTGGGGTACATGTACCCCGGGGGGTACGCGAAGACATCTTAGGGGGTACATGAAATTTAAAATATATGTATATTATTTTATGATCACACTTAATAATCAGTAATGTAATTTATTTAATTTATTTTAGATGTAGATTATATACTATGCATAACTTGAATTATACACCAACAACTTTGGGGGTACAAAGTTGAAGAGAAATTACATCTGGGGGTACGCGAAGACATCTTAGGGGGTACGTGAAATTTAAAAAAAACATCACATTACATGCCCATCATAGTTCAACACTAATGCCAAGGGCTGTGTTTGACAAATTAATTTTCACTACTGCTATAAACACAGTCACTGTCTGGCTACAGAATGGACAATTGAGGTTTGATCCCCAGTGGGGGCAAAGGATTTTTCCTTTATCCTCTAAATCCAGACTGTCTCTGGTAAATACCCAGCCTCTTATCCAATGGGTACCACAGTATGATACTGACCACTAACCCCCATCTATTGCCAAGGTCAAGAGAGAGTAGGAGTTACAACCCCCCACGTCTCCACAGCGTAATGATACAGTTTTGCTGCTATCAACACATCACAGATCAACAAAGATCTGTACTTTAACAAAGAAGCAATTCACTTCGAACATGCCCGTGCAATGTATGGCTTACCTCTATACTAAAATACCCTCGATCTACGTAGTCACCTAGGAAGAGGTATTTTGTGTTGGCCGGAGGGCCTCCGACTTCAAATAACTTCATCAAGTCGTAGAACTGACCATGGATATCTCCACATACTGGAACAGACAGACAGACAGATAATTCACATCAGTATGTTTACTTAAAAACTTCTAAAAGACTATTTGCAATGCACATTAACCAAAACCAGAAAATTTATTTTATGGACAACTAATAAAAATTTACCAAAAACTATCAAAGGAAAGTTTCTGGCAAATAATGTTAAAATAACCGGCATTCGTGAAACAGGAGAGACTGGGTAGAAAGTTGCTGTCTAAATAAGCAAATGCTACTATTACCTTCCTAAAAAAATCTCATACATACAATATGCTCTTACTCTGGCACATAAATTATCACTTCACATTGCACACAATTATACCTTACTCTATAAAAGTTAAGTTTTTGTTATCAGGGCATTCAAATTACCATGTTATGAAATACTAACTTTTAAATCCTTTGTTCTTTGGTACAGTGCTTAAGTTTGATAATAAATAATGTACTATTATCAACAGACTGAGCCTTTGTATTTCTTCTTCTGCATACAAAGTGACTGGTTGCACAAAGGAGGATTATACTATACTTATTTACATGCCAGAGTAAATACTTCTTTATATTTCTTAATTACAATAGCTGTGGAGGGTGCAACATAAGTCAGGATGTTACAGAGTAATTATGGTGTGAGACGAAAAAGCCATCTGCATGAAGAATGACTTGTAGAAGAAACTTGCATGCATGAGCACATGCTTATGGGGTTAAGAGACCTCTACCAGTCGGGTAATCCTTACTTCACGAGTTATAAATACGGCACACAAGCTATAATACTAGCGAAGGAAGAATGATAGCGCAAGTATGAACGATAACTTGTATTTGTCAAGTCTGAGAGTAGACTATATGACAGAAGACATCAACGCCATCTCTCTTGCATGTGATGGCATCAATCAGGAGATCTGAAAATTCCATTTTGAGTATTATATATAAAGGAGCCAGTTTTATTATACATAACACTTGGAATGCAAAATGGTAACAATGAATGTTTTGCAAGAGTGGTTTCACAGACACAGTCAATAGCATCCTTAACATAAGATGATAAAACCTGAAGATCATTCTTTGTAGACAAAACATGCAATGGATAAGTAAAAGAATACATATTGGTAAATAAATAAGGATAGTTGTGTGGACAGAACTTGGGTTATTAGTTGAACCATCACACAACAGGATGCCTCTAATTAAGACAAAATTAATGTACACAAAAACACTTCATCGCAGAAAAATTTGAAGAGTATATACAGCTAATACGAATGGCATTTCAAACCATGTCAAAGTCTAAGTTTCTCCATAGAACACAAAGACTGTTGATTCAGCCAATGGATCAATAAATTATATCCATATTTAAGACTTACTATTTGGAAAGAACTGTTATTCAGCTCATAAAGAAAATGATGACCAAAGTAAGCTTGCAACAAAAGACAAATAACAAATTCATGATATCACAAATGTTGTCCTCAATGTCTTATGTACCTGAAAGCACAGAACTATAAAGACAAACACCATGTAAAAGAAACATTGACCTGAATATGCCGACAATTTCAGAGGTATAAGACAATACAGACACAGAGAAAGATGTAGGCATCACCAAAAAGTAAGACCGGATCGAGAGGCAATTCAATACAGTTCACTATTACCCCCCCCCCCGGGCCCAATCTGCACGTGTCTTCAAAATGTGTTCTTTACTTAATATTTACAAAATCAGTCAAGAAATAAATGGTTCTCATTAGACAACATTCTTTACACAAGAAAACCAGTCACAATTATGACTGCACTTACTACGAATAAAATAACCTCTGACATTTACATCCACAAGCTGGTCAACTGATAACAGGATGTGTCATAATACATTTATACAATACATAAACACACAGTGTCCCAAAAAAAGTTGTATAAGCATTATAATATGTTGGCTACCTGTCAGTCACTTCCTCACAGCTGTCAATTGTGCCATGAAATTAATGCTGGTCATTTTGAACTACAACATATTTGCTAATTCACTGAGTGCCATGCTATATATGTAGTGGTTAGTTTATTAGAAATCCTTTATTTCATTCACTGAACATGTGTCTACATCTTTTTTGGACATAAGTAGTGGGAATCATTCATACGAACATGATAAACGTTACACCTTTTTAAAAAAAAACGTTTGACAAAACTGCAAGTAAAAAAACAGCAATGATAACAATGCCCATGTGTAGATGATAATTCAAGTAGTCGGTTTCGTAAACATGACAAAATCGAACATCTGATGCTCATTACGTTGAAATATTTCGTCGTGTGATCAAAATAAACCAACGTACGTTTTTAAACACATTACAATGTCACGACGTCTGTCTGATAAATTTTATGCTGAATGCAGTCTTCTGGGATGTAGAGCCGTGTAAGTGGTACCAACATTTCAGAGGGATGTATCACCCAGGAGCTCACAATCAACATCACTGACGTCAGAACCTCGAATGTAACCACTCAGAAACACCATCTACAAATACTTATAAGCCTTCATGGAAAGTCGTAATTGATGTCAAATTGTGGCAAAAAGTATATTGTATCTATTTCAATACAGAATCTCCAAATACGAATTTTAATCGAAATCTAACTAAAGTGGAATCATGAGCCGGAGGCGGACAAAGGAAATAAACACGTTGGAGCAAAACAGTGCTTAAGCCTTACTACGACTCATCAACAACACAGCTGCAAATGCGATCTTTACAGTGCGCATGGCCTCTGCCATAACATTACAGTCCCTTGTACTTGGAAACTCAGATAAGCTATCTTGAGCTCTGTAGCGAGCGGTTTTCTCCAGTTCTTATAAACGAGAACTGGAATATTTATCCCATGACCAGTTATCTATAAAAATAAACGTATATAATTTTAATTAATACCAAATTATGACTAACAAAAAAGTCTGGATATAGTGATTACTAACTAAATAACTCCACAAAACACGCGCTATCTTGGACAGCTGATTTCTTGACATCAATTTCCTGCCTGCCTGTCGCTGAACACTTGAATCTAGTGTACATCTTCACAAAATCTGACACTAGGTGTACTATTTAGACTAAAATCTTTTGAAATACAGTAAAAATCCACTAAAACAAAGCACCTGAAACACTATCTTTTACGGATTAATCTTTAAGGCCTCGCATAATTCAGAAATACTTCCGAAAACATTAATCTATCAAGACATTTGGTGGGTTGGAAAACCTTTACCTACACAGGACAAAAATCAGGCAGGGCGAACTTCCATCCACGCCTCAAATGGGAGTCGAACCCCTATCAAGCGAGTATCAAACACCGACTGACGGTAACTGGATCAATTCTCACCACGTGAAAATCTTAGCTGGAGTACAAACAACATCCAACCGCTGCAATGTTTTGTTTGAATCCCAGAATACTACAACTGTTCTCGCTCGGAATGTTTTTTTAAGACTATCCAGTCTCTGCTTACCCAGAAACGTTTTCGGCCGTCAAAACAATACGCCCAAGTCAGGAAAATACTGCCCACAGTTAAGACCTACACGCAGACTGCACGTCTCAACTATACTTAAGAAAAACTGTCACAGTAGCATCTCATTTATAAATCAAACTCGTTGCTGTTTTTTCGTCATTCTGTATACTGAAACACAGGCTATTTGGACGTTCGCCAACAAACAGGTGACATTCAGTGACTGCGACAAGTTGGCGTACACAGAGACAGGCGTCCTGCAATTGGTAGAAAAGTTCTGTTGAAATCAACAGGAAATGCTTTATTCTCTACGCCATTTCTCACATTCCTTTACCACTTACACACCTTATTTTCTCCCACCTTTTCTCCATAACCCATTCCTTTTAACACAAAACAATGCAAATTAAAAATAAGTCGTGGTTCGTACTACGTTATTTGAACGTTTCGTCACCAATCTAGCTCCATTACTGACGACTTTAGGTCTCTATGGGTACAAATACAACAAAACATGTATCGAAGCAAGCAAACAAACATCAACCCTAATTTAAATACTATAAAAATACACATCGATGCATAAGTACTATTATTTATAATATAAGAGGCCAACTAATTCTATGGATCGAAGTCCTTGAGAAGCTCAACCAGACAAGAAATTCCCCGACTATTACAGTAGCCCACGGTCAATTACCTAGTTCACAAGAGCCCCATTTTCTTAATACAAACTTAATATTCTCCCATCTTCGCATACGTCTTCCGAGTGTCTCTTCCCTTCAGAAAAAACTAAAAAAAAAATGACGCTGTCGCACTATACGACATGTAGGCCCTTGGGGGGGGGGGGGGGGGGGGCGTCACGTCCCGGAAAAGGACCCCGGTACCCATTTGACAAGAGGCTGGATGGACCCCAGAGTCGTAAACGCTGGGGTTTGAGGAAAAAATCCTCTACCCTCCTCGGGGATCAAACCCCGGGCATCCAGTTCTTTAAAACATTCTAGCCAAAATTACGTATGCGCTGCATTCCTCGCTCAACCAATCCCTGAATTAGCCACTGAAGTAACATCTGGGGTACAATAAAACTCACTTGACATGCAGTGTTATTTAACGCCTACACGAAACTGCATCGAAAAACATTGGCACAGTTTCGGAGATGTCATGTAGGCAGTCAAACGTAAATTTCACATAATGTATTAACGTGTGTAGGTGGGGAAAACGCACAACACGCTTAAAATAAAAGTACAGATCTTCAAACAACACATGCCGAGAGTATACAATTCCTTTGCTTGATGGGCCGTCGTGCTTAAATATATGCCAGTACAAGATGATCCAAATAAGGAAACAATTTTCATACAAAGTTACGCTTCGCCAAGTAACGACTAGAAACTACCGATACATCGCTTGCTTCATTCCAGCTAGACTGCCGTAATCTGGGTGTGACCAGTTAAACTCTGAACCCCTCTTTTTTTTTTAAACGCTATGCAGGAAAAGGAGTCTTCATCGCAGAACATTGCTTCACTCTTATTCCGAATGCCGCTACGTAATCGAAGATTTCGTTTCCCGGCAAAACTCTCCTTGTCAATCAACATTACATCATTCAGTCTGTGCGTCTTCCTGAAAATATTCTAGGAACACGAATCGTGTCCACAACTTCGCTGTTTAGCTTAGAAGTTATGTACTATAAAGATTTATGTCATTACCGTGTAAATCTTTATGGAAACTTGGCCAGAAGAGTGGGATGGGGTATGACTTGGCTACATCGAGCCAACACAACAAGTAAAATTGCACGCACATTACATTTAAGTAGTATACTAACACAGTACAGTCAATGAACAACAAAATGGGTCAGAGTCTTTCTTGAGAAAGTCCCTCAAGTACACAAAATATTCGGATTTTTTTATACAACCCCAAGGTTAATTACAGTGATCACAAGAGCCCGTCAGCGGTTTTATCCTAAGGCACATTAATCCAATCACCACACTCCAACTCCATATCCTTAACGTCCATTTTAACATCATCCTCCCATCTTTGCCTGTATTCCGTGAGATATCTTCTCTTCAGCCTTAACAACAAAAATTTTGTACGCATTTATCTTCTCCATGCGTGCTGCGTGTCCCGCCCATACCAACATCTTAAAACTCTCGCCACTACACGGAAAGTCCTTAGGCTGCAAGACAAAGGATATCTCCATGTGTTGAGGGCAGCTGTAAATACATTTAATAAGCAGTCGCGGACAGCCGACGAAGGGCGGTCCTCCACCTCTTAACCATTACAAGGAAAAACTTGTTAATGTTAAGGAACTAATCCATGTTTTCAATGACAATCACACGAAACCCTTAAGATTTACCGATTATTGAAGCAGATGCAATAGGGATTTAAAAGTATTAAAGGCAGAATTATTCGAGCCATTATATTTTTTTATAATAACGTGTGCGAAGTGTAGCGTCCTACATTAACGACCCAGTTCTGTCTGTGCATTGCCATCACAACAGATCTTGCTGTGTAGACAAAGGTAACCATCGTTAGAAAAGACGAGTATATCACAAGAACAAAGCCAAAGTTTTAGTGCCAAGGGATTTGTTTACAAGATTCAACGCTGTTTACATTAGCTCTTCGTTCCTTGGCCACATGAAATACCAGCCACCACAATTACATGGAGCAGAATACGGGAATGTAAAAAAAATAAGCAGTTTTGAAGTTCTGAAACCGATAATGGAACACGAGTTTCAGAGTTATTTATGGAGTTGAAAGGAGAAACACCACATGACTATTGTCATTCGAATTCACCAGATCTGTCTGTCTAGCTCAGTGTTTTAAAACAAAAAGGCTCTAAATCTGGAACGCCCAAGCAATAAATTAATTGAAGATGGCTGTCTTCTGGGTCGTTGCACCGTATATGCTGGTAGTTCACAGACGTTTCAGAGGTGATTGATACCATCATGAGGGCAACCAAGAAGATAGCCATCTTCATACACGCCGCTATGATAACCTACAATCTCACCAAACAGTTTTAACGTTCGAAACACGTATTTGAATTTTAAAAAGAAACTTAATGACAGAATTCTTCGCTATGAAAGAGAAATGTCGATGGTCCTAACAAAGAATACAAAGGAAGATGGTAAAGCGAGAAAAATTACGAAGTCTCGGTTTGAAATTTTAGACAAGAACTGTACTTGCGTGTTAATCCGTTCTACCTGGACATCGTGTTCCTAAAACGCACAAATGAAACAGAACGGCAGACCAACGAATGATTAACAAACTTTGGTATGAGAACCCACAGATGGAATTCCACTAACAACAAAGTCCATCAGTCCCATTCTACAAGTCTAACGAAATTTACATAAATACAACATTCCCCTCAAATACACTTTATCATTGTCTTATCTCAGTCTCCACCTTCCAAGTACCTTCCAACAGGTTTCCCCACTTAACTTTACATATTCACCGATCTTTAACCGAGATTTAAGGTTCTCAAGGTGTAAAAATACAGACGACCTTCTTCTGTGATATAGCGTCCTGTAGTCTGGTATATACTGACATTTCAGACGAGCTCACTGCCTGCCAGATGACGTAAGCAGCAAGCTCCTATGAAACGTCGGGTGATGTCTACGAGACTACACGGTGTTAAATCTCAAAAGACAGCCATGTTAAACGTCTTCAGCCCACAGTCACCACCTCGATTTAACTAACCTTACAACAACAGAGAAAGTGCACGCTAAATATAACTCATTAAATTCTAGAAACGAAGCCCGGATGCTGCCAAAGAATTTGCCCAATCCCGTGGCGTACGCGGTGTAATTTGCAGAACTTTATGCTTTTCAGAGTTCTGATGCCGCGTAGGTGGATACCAGCGTTTCGGAAAAAATGACTGTTACCATCTTCAGGCCTGAGATCGAGACGTGCATCTCCGAAACTTTGGCATCCACCTACTAGCCTACAATACGTCACAGCCCAGGACATCTTCGCCGTAAAACCTCAAACCTCACAACAAGGTTTGGGGCCAAAACACTGGAGATCGAGGTCTGACAAATTATAAAAAAGATAAAAACATATTAACGCCGATATTCCTGTCTTTGACTCCTATTAACACCACGGAAGACTGAGAAATTACAAAATTAACCGATGGAACAAAACATTTTTCATAGTATCTCAGGAACTATCTGACACCTGCGGTAAAACGTAAGTTTGTGTGTGAATTATCCACACCCAAACCCCATACTGCACGCACGCACCAAAACATCTGCACTCTGCTTCGCCACTGTTTCAGATCTTAATATCAGGCAGGCATAAAGCTTAACTTAGCGTATTATTACAGATACCAAATCGAAAGAACACAGACTGTGTAAAAACAAACATACTATAAGCTAAATATTCAAATGCTGCTGATGTATCTATCATTTGGCATCTTCCATTCATACATAAATTCACGAGGAATCCCGGGGAAATAACACAATGAGTTAGATACAAACTTTAAAATAACACAACGCCAACTTCATGCAGAAACAAAAACGAGGGACACCATAAACGAAGACTAACACTACGTATTCTAGCTTCTAGAAACGTAATTATTCTCGCAAACACGAGGTACATAGTAAAAACCAACAGCAAGCCGGTTTCGAGAAACTGTGAAAATTGTTTCAAGCGAAATTAAAGAAATACGGAAAGGTACACATAAAAAATTGACCTATTTTTTCTATACGTCATTGTACAGGATGGGTGGGAAGTAAGTAGGCACTGAGAAATGGTTATTAACTCTGTTTCCAATGCAGCGATTATTTATTGCCTACTTACTTCCCATATAAATCAAATTAAATGTGCTGGAAAAACAAAATTTAACACATCTTAATGTTCATGGCTTAAAAGCCTTGTAAAGTGATAAAAACTAGTTCAGCTCTAGCTTCAGCTCTCTAGAACACTAGAAAATAAAAGCAAGCCTACACACATTTGACGACCAAAGGGCGTTCAAGAAACACGTCATTATTTCACAATGATTTCCACCAAATCACGGATATTTTACGTTTAGACAGTCCGGTTATTCATGCTACCAATTTTCTATATCTGAGATTCTGAAATGGAAAACAACAACTGGCCACATTGCTTTAATTATCAGTTAAACTGACAACTTAATTCGTGAAACAGAAAACAAAAGTATCACCACCACACAATAACACTGTGATTCAGATGCCCTGTTAAAGACGTGAATAATGTGACCGAAATGGAACAAACTAATTACCTAATTCATGATCGGTCAATGATGGCTTCAGCACTGGAGAGCTCCAATAATTTCATTTACATATCGAATCACAGTCTACTCCTTTAAAACACCGAACATTATCAAGTACATTCGACGATCATCTTCCGTTCACACGTGATCAACTCGAATTAATGTTATTCCATCAAGACAAGTACAGTATTTATGCATTTTAAAATGTGTAAACATACTCTTGGCAACTGGATTTTTTGATGCGACAAAATCTAACCCTACTATCACTGACTTCGAATAAATTCTCATTCCTCATTGTCGGCTTGAAAATATCTCCCCCACCCCACCCCACTGCATTTAAATCTCCAAACAAAATGTGCCCAGCTCAAGGACCACCCGTAGTCGGCTGTCCGAAACTGTTTATTAAACACGTTCGCAACTACCCTCCACATCTTGAGGCCTTCACCATCGGCAACATCCCCATGCCACAGCGACTGGAAACCCACTTAATACAAATCTAAATGTACTTAGCCCTCAAAATCGCAACAACGAATTTCCTTTCTCGAACACGTTATATAGGATAAAACAAAAGAGCACTAGCGAGCTAAAATGCTGTGCACTATAACCTATTACACAGACAAGCCTCAATTAATTAACCTACGTTTCTTCAAATTCATAAAACATCACATCAGTTTACAAGCCACGCAAACAGTAACAACAGATCGTTTGTGATAAGGTTCTAATTAAGGGCACATTAATAGCATGGCTTACGTCACAGAGAATCCTGCCGTCAAGCCAAGTTTGCAATGTAAGATCGTGAATATCTTTGAGCCCATAAAGGTCGAAACAGAATGCGATTCAAGATTCCGCGTTCTTCTAGAGAAGTTTGGAATAATTCATTAAACACGTCCGTCATTTGAGTTGGTTTAGACATGGTGTCCGAAAACACCCTGCATCATCAATAAAATCTTCTCGGGAGCCGCGTCAACTTGTTACCGTAGTAAACCGACGTTTCGGGAACCAAGTGGATTGTACTCGCCGCGAAAGTTTCAAATCCTATACCCTCTATTATCAATTTCTCACAGTGGAGAAGACAAATCACAACTTACCTGTGACGGGGGCCTCAATGTCGATCATAGTTTTCTCTGACCGGAGTAACGTAGCGCCATCATTGATAATACGAAGGGCAGCAGCTTCGTCTATCCGACCTTCGAGTATGAAGTGCTGCTTTAGAACGTCTGGCCGCGGTTTAGCCGTCCGTGTGTCGAAAACTTCGGCCGTGGTCAACTTGTGACTAGGCGGGAATGGCACACCTAAAAACAAAAGAACAACCTACAATCGCCATCATCTTTCATTTTGCATGCCCTTACAAGCATTCCACGCATTCTCAACATCAACACTAGACGGAGATAAATGATGATTTCTGTCTTCTGGGTTGTTGTCTGGTCGATGTTTACCAACGTTTCAGAGGTCATACTGCCTCCGTCATCAGGGCGATTCATCGCACTTATAGCGTAAATGAAAATATTTACTCGCCTTAATTTAAAAATTTAAGCACAATCTTTGGCATTGTGAGACAATGACTTTTACGCCGCGCTGCACTTTGTGAACTAAAAACTGTAAAACATTAACGATGCAGGTAAAAGCTTTATTCCGGATACGCTACTTCTACAGTCTAAAAGCAATAATTTAATATATGATAGTACAAGGAAGGACTGGGTTATATCTCCCTTATGTGCTATGACTTCGAGGTCTTCCGCTCTCCCCATGTGTATTTATTATGGTCAAAGAAGCTCGGAATTATTTTGCGTCCACTGTACAACGGAATTTGTACGAGATCTGCAGGCGTATCCCTTAATTTGACAATTCCACTTACTGAGCAACACGATTTCCTGCCTTCATAACTGACCTACATTTTGAAATCGCATGAGTCCTCAGTTTCTATAAATTCTGCGTGTAACAGTCTGTGGAAGGCAGAGAGTCTGTACAAATGTTTCATCTCCTGTACCAGAAACAATTAACCCTGGAATCGGAGGTCTGCATTAAAGTTTCCGGGCGAATTTCATTAGTCCGTCTACATTGGTCCCCATATAATCATTACTTCAGTTCCTCTCATCAAATTTACCAATTCTTTATACATGGTTCATATCACGAAAAATAACTGACACAAATTCAACAAGAATAAATCCCTGCCACCCTCGGTTCCTTCCGCCCTCTTCTTAGTGGTTGCTAGGTGACCATACATTACAACATATTTCGTCAATAAGCAAACGCATATAATTAATGTATAAAACAATGATTTGGTATTTACAAGCCTTATCAACAAGCAGACAGACGTTAACTGAAAATTTGATAAGACATTATCTCGTACACAGAACACGAATTTAAAGATAAAACACGAATAATCAAGTGTTTGTTTCTTGTAGTACAGTCGAGAGGCTTAAGTAGGTTGTTACAGTTTACATTATTTACGAACTTTATTAAATATACGTTGGAGATTAATGTAATACAGGTCTACAAGCGTTTTACACGCAAATATTAAGTTTCTTTTGATATGTTATATAAAAAATAAGCAATGTTATTATTTCAGTACAATTTATTTTAATAATTCGGGGTAAAGAAATGAGTATTTGTGCTAGTTACATATACAGCCATTAATATATTTAATTTAAAAAACTAAGATTGAGTCCAAAATCGAAACATTTCAAATAAAAATGGCGTATAAGTTAAATAAACCACAAAATGCGTGATCTACATAGACAACATTATAATGTTTACTTGACACAAAAAAAATGTTTCTTCAAAAAACTGTTTCTTACGAAACAAATAAGTGTTTCGCACAGTCTTTACGAAAAAACCCCGTAAGTTTACGACAGATTACCACGTCCTGTGTGCGTGTCCTTTCAACTTCTATGTTTGTGTGTGTGTGTGTGTGGGGGGGGGATTTTTTCACTTTTTATGGCACGAACATTATGCAAATGACCACCTCAATGTCATACACACTTTTTAATTCCCTGCACCAAATAACAACATAGAAGACATTAACTAACGAGCATAAATAACCCCAATTTATTATAGGCTCTTACAACAGTGTAAAGTAATATACGTTAATAAAATATGCGCCGTTTATTGAAATAATTGTTTTGTAGAATGTAAAACATGGCTGTTCTACAAACATTTTTATTTAGTTCTCAGCCTGACATCGACAACCATATGACCACTGGATCTATATACAATTTGGACGAAGATAAATTATTAAGATGACTGTCATCTGGGATGTTGCGCTGTGTAGTCTGGCAATGTCTGAAATGTCGGTAAACTTCTACCAGACTCGCCATCGTTAGAACCTCAAATCTGGCATTTTATTAACTTTTTATGAACATGGCCTATGGGCTAATACATCATAAACAGGGTAAAACTACAAAAATTTAAGATTGTGTCAAATAAATAATTTACGTAAATATTCCATGCGCGTTAAGAACTTCAATTATTCAACAATAACAACAACAAAAACCCACCAACAATCTGTGACATATCAGAAACCTTAAGAAATAAAAACATTTTGATTCTAGCAGGGTTCAATCTTAATGACCATCTACGCTACGCACGGGCTCAGCACGATAACCCATAAATTAAAAGTCTCATTTTATCTTTTGGATTATAAACTTACATTACGTAAATATAACATTAATAACACAAGATTTGTTCAACTATAATAGGAAAGTAGGTTTTATGAGTTTTGCACGCAGCTTTGTATTCGGATGTATAGATTGCCCATGGACGCTATATACACGCAGACTTTTATAAGTACGGAAGAAAACGCCTGACGCGATAAAGTTAAAAAAAAAAGATGCTGTAAAAGCTACAAGAAGAAATAATGCAGAATAGTTTGCATGTCAGTAACAGATCGAAAATACACCAAATTGCATGTTTCAAGGTCACACCAAAATCGTACAACGTTTCAGCACGAATACCGAAGCTCAGGCGCGCGAAGACGGCTCAGAATTCGCATCGTAGCGAAGCTAATAACGCTGTACTGCTGATATGCAGACTTACAGCCGCACGGTAAGACCAACGATAAATGAATTGGAAAAATAAGTTAGGATGCGTTCGTGGCCTAATTTAAGACACATACAGGCAGGAATTTTACCAGGCGGGGCTGATAGAAACAACGAAAAGCCTCAGTAGGGGTACCTGGACTCCAAACTTATATTTGAACCTGTCATGGTATCGACGTTGTGGCAAACATACCCACTTGGACAATTTCTTTTGAACAGTTAGTTAACTCATAAACCAGAATGTAAATGACACTTCCCGGCTCCCGGTAGGGCCTGCGCGACTCACTGAAATAAGTGCCCTGATGATGGAAGCATCAAGTTCCTCCGAAACGTCGGTAAACTCCTATCAGACTACACGGCGCTAATGCAGTTTATTTAATTACCTTTCTCGACATAACTATCAATAGGTGACTTCGTAACTCTCAGTCGGATGACGTGTTAGTTCGTGAAAGAAAAATTACGTGGCTGATGTTAATGTCTAACAATGTCAAAAGATTTAGCAAGGCGGCAGAAATCTGTTGAATTATGTAACTGATAAATCGTCTAAATGACAGACCTCTGCTAATCTGTGGTCACAGTAATATAGCATTTACGGGTAGTCTGTGAGGCTACGCGGTTTTCCTTCCTTGTTAGAATAATCAAAGTAATATTTTATTTTAGAACAGCATTAATACCACTTACGAAGGTTTAAATAATAATGGCGAAGCATTACGACGCTAAAATATTTTTTTCTGAACATCTCTGGCGGCACTCAGATGTTCCTACCCCCGCCACAAGGCATCGTTTTATAACGTACATTAAACATTATTTTAAATCGTTTCTAATTGTATCTCACAAGCCACGGTGGTCTAGCGGTCAGAACGCTGGCCTTGTAATCCTGGGGGTCTCGGGTTCGATTCCCGGCGGTGCCCGAATTTATAACTTGTGTTGGGCAAGGCCGTGGTCTAGGCAACACGGAGTTTTCCTCCGGTTTCTCCGTGGCATCCCAACAATTACTCCATTCACACACAGAAGAAGGCAATGGCAAACCGCTTCTGGATCATCTGCCAAGAACGTATATGAACAGGTCCCAGTCCGAGAAGAGAAAAGGATGGAAGGATCCTGTTCATATGGACTTGTCGTCAGACAGAACACTAAATAAATAAATAAATATTTTCTCACAAATGTGCATCACAGTCTTTTCATTACACTACACACGCTTATACAGGTTGATTCTAAACCACATGAAATATATCGTTCGTGTACTACTGTAAACTCAAGTCAAAAATGTACATTTCTTTTTTGTTAAAATATGTTACCTCTGGACCGAGATTTGAATCCCGGACCTCCGTAAACGACTACAAAGGAGTTATATAAGTCGAGTACCTAAGTCGAAATGTGCCAAAGAGACAATATCGAGATTAAAATGTGACCTACCTGATGCACTTGAGATTGAATCTACATCCGAAAGCGATATCTGACATTAAATAAACGGAAGTGTCCAGGGTTAAGTGATTAATAGCAGAACGTTACGACCATAACTAAACACTAATCAATTACTCCGTCCGCTCTGCGTAATCTTCTACATATTTGAAAATGTTATCGAAGAAAGAGCAGATTTCGTACGGGTTAGATCAGATACCAGGCCGCGCCATTCCGGCATGGCTGGCTACCTGCTGAGACTTCTTGTTGACCGCACAGGCGAGCGACGTAGACAAAAAATTCGAGCAAAACTACGCAAATCCCAAACCCCGATCTATTAACTTAAAAGCGCTAATTTCCGCACCAGAACTAATTCATTTTACATATTACTATGTTTAATCTGCTACATATTTCGATATATTCCTGCTTCTTCGTGCCAGAATCACTTTGCTTCATTTCAGTTAATTAAAATGTCATCTTTCTTCTTTTACATAATATATTAAAATCTTTGAAAATCCTCCTTCTACGCAATTGAACATAATTATGTTATTACTCTATATTTAAAATTGTACAGTTTTGTTTCTTAGATCTTATGTAATTATAAGTGCATATTTAATTAATTAATCTTGTCCGTCTAATCACAATTTAAAATTTAAAATTAAGATAGTTAAAATACCATGTGATGCTCCTTATCGAAACATTCGATTTACATTCGATTTCCAAATGTAAATCGAATGTTTCGATAAGGAGCATCACATGGTATTTTAACTATCCTAATTTTAAATTTTAAAATGTGATTAGACGGACAAGATTAATTAATTAAATATATATATTCACAATATGACGCAACTCTA